ATCGTTTTCATACTTTACTGTATTATATTCAGTTCAAACTACTGGTTAGGTACAATAGTCGTGGCGGTAGTATCATAGAGTAGGGGCACTCAGCATCATCCACGATTATAGAATTCACTTTATTCAATATGGAATATCTTGACAAAGACTCATCTCCAGGTAAAGTATCTGTACCTTCAACAGCAATTGCTCTTAAACATTAATATATAGCAACTAGAGAACATTTGAAAATGGATTTTTAACTGATACGGCTCCAGAACAGTTCAACGGCCATTTCATTTTACTTCGTTAACCTTACCCTAATGAGAAAAACTTTATTTGGCAGATACACGTCGACCACTCTCCAAACACGTTTCATGAAGTGTACGTGGAGTATGTGATATGTTATCATAGAGGATGTGCAGAAAGGAGAAAGTTTCTTTGAAAATGTGTTCATAATTCATGTGCAGCACGCCATGGTATGCGTTACTAATTTTGGCGATTGAGACTGCAAACAACTCCGACCGGTTGCATTCCTACGTAACTATAATTTACGTTTTATTGATGCAGAAATTCGTCGTAGTAGTATTGGAGAGCTTGAAGATAGTTATTTTTTAAGCATCTTTTAACCTTTTTTATATTTTTTAAGTAAGATTGAATGTACCTACTTTTTAACGCGCGATGTTAAAAAGCTAATTACATTTATTCTTTTATTGCTATCATTCTATAGAAGGATGCTTGATTACTTATTGTACAAAAAATATTAATTTGTATATATGCAAATATTTATTTCGAACATTATCTTATTGAAATATATACGAAGTCAAAAAGATCCTCAGTCGTGATCAAATTGGAACCAAAGTTTGTGTTTTTTTTGTCATCAACTTGAGTTTTTCTTTTTATTTCAGGTAAGTCACACAACTTATAAACAAGTCTCCAGCTAAATTCCAAAATAATTTCCCCTCACAGATGTTTATGATAATTGTTCATTGTTAATGAGAATGTATTGTATGTTACATAAATTCTCAATTCTTCTTTTATTCGACAGCAGTGTATATTATTATATTCAAATAATCGAAATGAACAAATAAATATTCATTTCTTTTTGGGGGAGTTGTGTGCGAACAGTCGAAGAGTCGAGACGTGTTTCGTAGCGATGCGCGAATTTCAAAACCTCTCCCGGTATATATGAAGAATATAACCGATCACCCGCTTATGCTAGAGAGCATTAAAACTGTCCTTTCCGACAAAGAATTCAATTGTAAAACAACAGCAACGAACAGAATCAAATTAAATACTAACACATCAGATGCATATCGAAAACTAATCCACTTCCAAAAATTAAACAAAATAGCATTTCATACGTATCAACCGCGTTAGGAAAAATCCTATAGAGTAGTGATCAAAAATTTACACAGCTCCATTCCAACAATGGAAATAAAACAGGAACTTGAAGAAAAAGGATTAAAAATTAGGAACGTCACGAATATCCGTAGTTGGAAAACCAAAGAACAACTTCCATTATTCATTGTAGATCAAGAACCTAACGACAACAATAAAGAAATCTACAATCTGGAACATTTTCTCAACACAATAATAGAAACGGATCCCCCGCGTAAAAAAAAAAACGACATACCTCAATGCCATCGATGTCAAAAATATGGACACACCAAAGGATACTGTACAAACCCATACTACTGTGTAAAATGTGCGGAAAATCATCCTACCAGTACTTGCAAAAAAGCAATAGACACACCAGCAAAATGTACGTTGTGCGACGGACCACACACTGCAAATTATAAAGGTGCAGTGTTTACAGGGATCTACAAAAAGTAAGAGATAAGCCCAATAGAAAAATGAGACTAATCCAAAGCCAAACAACACAAGAAAACGTAAGCTACGCCCAGGCTACAGAAAATGTAACACAATCCGATAATCATAATCCGATAACCCTATATCTAATAAAAAAATGAATTCTATCACTGAATATCTTAATAACCCCTCACAGCCCACCGAATCTATTAAACACTTTAGTCCTAAAGAAATAGCAGAAGCAATAAGACTGCTTAATGATAAGAGAGCTGTTGGATACGACCTCATAACTTCTACCATGCTAAAAGAATTACTAAAAAAAGGAATAGTAGCAATAACACAAATATTCAACGCGATAATCAGGAAACACTATTTTCCAATACAATGGAAGTTCGCGAAAATAATTCCAATACAAAAACCGAACAAACCCCCAAATGGAGTAACCTCCTATAGACCATATCACTACTACCGATTCTATCAAAACTATTTCAGAAGCTGTTTTTATTACGACTTAAACCAATAATAAAAGAGAAACACTTAACATCGCATCACCAATTCGGATTTTAAGAGCAGCACTCAACGATAGAACAAATCCACAGAATAGTAAATAAAATAGGAGAAACCTTAGGAAAACGCTTGGTATGCTCCGCAGCTTTCATTGATATAAGCCAAGCCTTTGACATAGTGGGGCATACAGCATTTGTCTCTAAAATCAAAAAATACCTTCCTCACAACCACCATCTTTTACTCAAATCCTACCTCATTGAAAGACATTTCTGTGTTAACCATAATAACAATTACTCACATATTTAGCGAGATACCAAATCAACACATCAGATTCCCCTGTATGCGAAGAGGTGCTCACAGCCACATACGCAGACGACACCGCGTTCTTAGCATCCCATGAAAACCCTATAGAAGCATCAAGATTACTACGGGAGGCACTGAAGAAGACAGAAGATTGGACAAGAAAATGGAAAATTAAAATTAACCCTAGCAAATCAGCTCATATCACACTTACCACAAAACGTGTTACGTGCCCAGAAGTCACACTGAACAACGAAAAACTTAAAACAATAGATAACGTCAAAATTCGGGATACAGTATGTCAAGCAACACGTAAAAAAATTTGCAACCATATAAAAAAATTAAATAACAAATCGTCCCAACTGATCTACAAACGTAATTAATAAATTTTTTATTGTTAGTGGAAACGCTGCTGAGCGTCGTCCACACGTGCGACACACACATAAATCAAATTTGCTGATTGGCTCCAAGAGCCAGTTGTAACTTTTCTGTTAATAATAAAAGAAAAAAAAATTTCTTGTTCGAATAACTATTTACTAATATGTAACAATGTATATGTCGATTCACTAATCAGGGGAATAATTACTAATAATTAGAATTGGTCTGTTAAAACAATTCTTTAAACTGATTAACCCCTTAACCTACGATTTACGTTCCAACAGCCTGGGTCCAAAACATTAACAAGATCACTCAGCCTTCGAGCCATTCCGCGGTTTGGCAAATCGGACCTAAGTTGTACCAATCGCACACTACTGTATGTGTAATATACAATTGGTTTAATTTTGTGCAATATTTGATAAGTAATTACAACCTGATGTATAATAATAATTGTGGTAGATATAATACTAAAAGAGGTTTATTATCAATTAATAAAATATAACATAAATCAAAAACATAATTAGCATTTATACAAAAATGAATAATAAAAAATTAGCGACCAAGAATAACATGTAACTGATTGTGATCACATTACAAATCGCGACCGTCGTACTACGGGCCATGCCCGTAATATTTACAATTGGCCCAAATACAAGAGTCTCGCACGTACTTCAAGGTTAAGGGGTTACACATAACTATTATTTAAATTTCTACGAACCTGGATTTCCAAAAAGGAATGCGCAATCCAGAAGGAAGCTTCTTGGATACATCTCAAAATATTTCAAATCCATGTTACAGCAATTTGCAATGGAACACATGAATCTTCGAAACCCTGTTTCCTGGTTCGTCTCGATGTTTCAATTATTCTTCCAAAACGTCACCTTTCCAATATGCCCTTCTGTCTATCCTTACTCCTCAAAGGAAGCCAGGGTGTGTCCGCGAAGACGCCTGCACCGTGTAGTGTCTATGTACGTCGATTCTGAAAGCGAACGTTGGCGATAAAAATTCTACACCCCCTAGTCGACAAATTGGGGGACAATAAAACATTTATGGTCTCTCGATTTTCCAGACTTTTCTATTCCATTTACGCGGAACTCTATAATTTGAAGCAATGATATCCTAGTGTTAGGCACAAGCGAGGCTTCGGAAATTCGAGGCGGAAAGACGACAACGTGAATAAAATATGACCCCGAGGTGTCGTCGGACGATATCACAGGTTTTGCGCTCAGACGTTCCTCGGCTTTGGACGAAGACATGGATCAATTCCAAAGACAATACAGTACCTACTATTTCCTGCTATGCATCACAGGGCTATGGCCCTTCGACAATTCGGTTCTTGTTAAAGTTCAAAGGATAATTTTCGCTTCCATTATACTCTGCTGTGTCATAGTCCAGGTGATAGTGTATCTATATTTTTCTACGTCGTTATGTATTTTTATGAAACACTTATCCATAAGGAATTGATTGTGTCTTCAACTTCTGTCCCACAATACCAAACTTGTTTTCACTGGTTTTTGAATTATCAATTCTAATTTCCATCGGCGACGGATCTAGACTTATATTTGCATTAATTATTTGAGTGCCATTTCTATCAGTTATGTTTTCTGAAAAGCACGTCTTATTTGTGTGTACAAATATTTATACTTAAATTTCTTTTAAATATTTTTGTCACTTTTACTGTATGGTGCATGACGAGTATTCAAAAAGGAGCTTTGGCATATTATTTTGCAATAAAGTACAAGTGATATGAAATTTACCTGATTTATTTAATACATTTATATACATTTATGTTAACGTGTCTGCCACATATACACTGGCAGGCTTATTTTGCAATTTCAAAACAACATCCTATAGCCCCTTTTGGAAATAGTTTTATGTAAGTAAACACTCTATTTCCTGTACTTTCAACTATTTTTTTTTTTTTTTTTTTGAATAGTCACCTTTTTCTGTCAATCCCAAATGCACTTATGCATATCAAGAATAATAATAACTTTTTAAGCCATAGGTCTGCAATAGTCTAATAAACGAAACTATGTTTCAGTTCACATTGCTGGCTGCGGCTGAATTTACATTGCAAAACACACTAATGGCGTTATCATTCGGCTGTCCAACATTATTGTTTTTTCTACGATACATTGGTTTTATCTACAATTTTCCACTTGTAAATTCCCTAGAAAAATATAAACCACTTCCAACTTACGAAATCGATTTCCTTTCAAATGTTATGCCAAGAAAAAGCTTCGGAGTACGTGAAATTGGTATCTGGTCTATTTCAATTCATCTTCTATGAAAAAATAAGGGATCGTAGCGTTAAAGTGGTTTCGAAAAATTGTTTGTCCAGAATTTGGAACAGAATCGATTTCTTATCATTAAATGCACCAAACTCGCCACTTGATAAATGTATAGTCGTTAAGCAGATATGCGTCGATTTTAATTGTTTTATGTTTGAGCGCAGATGAGGTTTATATATGGTAGTATAAGCAATGATTGCAGTAAGCTCAAAAATCTAGACGAACAGAACATACTAATGAATCACATCGCTGCTTCGAAACGTTTAGTCTTGATCTACTTGCGTAAGATAAACAAATATGTTTCTTTCGATATTACGCGAGAATAATTCTTATGAATCAGCCTACGATTGTTTTTATTTAATAATTATTCTAATTTTCAGGAGTGTCGTGTTTTGGTATCGTCTGCGTTTGTATAGTGTTATTGTTCCCAGTATGGATACAAATTTTGATATCCCACAATGTAACCCGTTCGGAGGGTATGAAATTTCTTGGATTTATAGCTCAACACGACAAGTATGTACATTTTATATCCCTACATATACTGTTTAATAGTATAATCGGATTACTGGTGATATCAGTCACCGAGTCGACGCTCAGTGTCATGGCTTATTATGTTTGTGGACTATTTAAAATTACTAGGTACACACTTATATTTCAAAATGCCAGTTATCTGATAACAAATTCACCAGATTTTACTAATATATGTTTACTTTCCTAGTTATCGAATACGACACGCTGTTAATAAAGCGATTAAACAGATTGCCTTTCCAAACCGTAACGCTTTGAATGAAGCTAACATTCGCGATGTTGTGGAAACGCATATGAAATCTATTGAGTGGGTAAAATTATTGTTAACTTTGTTACGAATTTTCTGAGCTTTGCTTTTATTACTGAACACACTCTGTTCTATCGTGCATAAAATTTGACAATCTACCGTGTCGTTTTATGTTCGCATGAACAGAATCATCGAAGCGGTTGCAAAGCAGACCATGCTGGCGTATTTAATAGCAATTCTAGTGGTTATAATATCGTTCTCTTTGAATCTGTACCGTGTAAGTATGACAACAGTTCGAGACGGAAAACGTTAATATTTTTAACTAGCAATATTTCTGTACTTCAGAATTTATTCGTGGAAGTACTTGAATGGAATTGTGTTTAACACTAGGTTGACGAAGCAGTCAAAGTGACCCATTCTGAATTTCACAAGGAAAGTTAGCAGATAGCTACAGAAAACATTTACAGTTTTTCTCAACCACTTGTGTAGACTTTTATCTACATTTAGAGACAAACATAAATCCACATTACTTTGGTAATAGATATAAACATGACCAAAATTTCTTAGAAAGTAAACAACAAAAAAAAGAATAAACAATGCGACTAAGATATTTTAAACCTCCGGAAACCTAGTATTAATATTATTTTTCAATGAACATTTCAGAATCCGTTGTAACTAATTTCCATTGAACCTTTTCGTTGTGACAGGTATTTTTAGCGGTCATTGACATGACTGATCTGATCGAAGTGCTCCTTTCTAGTGTTATGGTGATCATCCACATGGTAATCATGTTCTTGAACAATTATAGTGGACAGAAAGTAATTGACGATAGCATGGACGTTTTCTACGAAACGTGAGTTTCTGTTTTTTACCAGTGTTGGTTCTACTTTAAGAAAGTTTCTCATTTCCGAAATAATGAATACAATATTATTTAACAATGCAGATACTTCACAACGTGGTACTACACACCGCTGAAGATGCAGAAACTGCTTTTATTGATGATGGTTAGGAGTTCGATAGTATGTGAATTTAATCTTTCGGGTTTGTTCGTTCCATCCTATGAAGGCTTTTCGACGGTAATTTTTTTGTTCTTTATCGTGTAGAACTGTTTACAGCAGCGATGGCAATTAGGTGATTCGTCAAACACTGTCTGCTAGATATTTTCAATTCTTATTGCATTCAGTCTCAGTTTGAATCATTTGTTTACAGGTTGATGCTAAAAATGTAAGAACTCTTCTCAAAATAGATATCCCCTAGCAATACGAATCGAATAGTTCTAATCCATTTTGCGATCCGAAGCTTCCTTATCGAGATCTAAGCAGGTGAAGCGTCTTTGTCTTAGGATGACTGACTGTTATACAAAATGACGTGCGACGGGAGTTCTATTGCTAAATTTTAATTACGTATATTTAAGTAACAAAGCTTTAAAATAAAAAATGGTAAAAAACTTTTCAGTTCTTGCGTATACAAGGAATTAATTCTGAAAAGAGAACCCACATGTTAATTAACACACTATACGTTTACTGATTACTGCCATCATCTTCTGTTCTATTTTGTCATGTCGGTCAAATCCTAGTTGCCATCTCCAGCTTGTACACTTCACATTTCCATTCAAAGCATTTCTATTTCAGATGATGAGCTTATCGTTTTCATACTTTACTGTATTATATTCAGTTCAAACTACTGGTTAGGTACAATAGTCGTGGCGGTAGTATCATAGAGTAGGGGCACTCAGCATCATCCACGATTATAGAATTCACTTTATTCAATATGGAATATCTTGACAAAGACTCATCTCCAGGTAAAGTATCTGTACCTTCAACAGCAATTGCTCTTAAACATTAATATATAGCAACTAGAGAACATTTGAAAATGGATTTTTAACTGATACGGCTCCAGAACAGTTCAACGGCCATTTCATTTTACTTCGTTAACCTTACCCTAATGAGAAAAACTTTATTTGGCAGATACACGTCGACCACTCTCCAAACACGTTTCATGAAGTGTACGTGGAGTATGTGATATGTTATCATAGAGGATGTGCAGAAAGGAGAAAGTTTCTTTGAAA